CATTTATTTTCCAAATGCTAATGAATTAACAATTGAACATTATTTTAAAATATTTGATGATTCAATATCAACAATTCTTAATTGTATTCTTCCTATTAAACAATTAACTAAATTAATTATTAAAAGTTCTAATTTTTCATTTGAACAAATTGTTAATTTAATACGTTTTACACCTAATTTATATACATTAAAATTAGATTTATTATCTTTTAATGAAATTAATTTAAAATTAATTCAACAAAATGAAACTTTTCAATATGTATCAAATACAAATAAAATAAAAACTATAGAACTTCGTCAATCCTGTACTTTAGAAAATTTTCAAATGATTATAAATGTATTTCTACAAGTTGAATATCTTAAAACTGAAATGAATAGAAAAGAAATTAATCAAATTATACGATTTTTATCTTCAAAAATTAATAATAAAGAACATTGTTTATTCTTTTTGTGTATTTCACAAATACCTAAAGTATGTTTACGAGAATTAAATCTTTTAATTAAATTAGAAAACTTATTCAATGATTATTCTATTAAATATATTGATCGTGATTTATATTTATGGTGGTAGAGATTTAATTGCTTAGGATATATTTTATTTTGTTGTTATATAGTTAATAGTTACTTTTAAAAAAACGAAAGAATTTTTTGATCGTTATTTTCACGAGAAGAACAGCGAACAGTAGTTAACGATATATTTTCAAAATACAAAAAAAAAAACGTTCAGATCATTGATATATATAATTGACAAAAAGAAAACAAACGATCGGAGGGGGGGGGGCGGGGGCAAATATTCATTTCTTCTTATTTTGATTATAAATATTTGAAGTTTCCTATTGAATAATTATTTTATTTTATTTACTTATTTTGAGGGCAAGTGTGTTTTATTTTCGAAGTTTATAAGTCTTTTATTTATTCGATGATTCGTATACAAATTAATATATTCATATAATTTCAAAAAAATGTTTATAACATTGATATTTCTTGGTTAAAATCAAAGTACTTATCTGTCATATTTATTTTCTAAAAATTGTAATATACTTCAATATTCATTTAGTCATTCAAGTATTTGGATACTAATGAAGAATATAATAATATTTATGTGTTGTTCTAAGTAATCTAATAATTACTTCAGTCATTTATTTATCAGTTTTCTTTTTATTGTTGTTGTACTACTTTGCATTGGTACATATTGCTAGTCTTTCTTAATATACTCATTTCTTTATTATAAACTTAGAGAATTTTAGAGCACTTCAAAATTGAATGTTTATATTGATCGGCTGATTTGTATTATTATTTTTAGTTGTAGTATATTGATCGTATGTGTTGTCAAACAAAAAACGTCATATAAAACAAATTTATATTTGGTTAAAAATATTTCATGAACATTTTTTTATATTATAGTACAATTTAATAGATTTCAAAAATAATCGATAGCCTTAACGGATAAGTTAGTCATCCGTCATCATTTCTCATGGTATCAGTCTCTGATAGATAATATTCTCTAAGATTATAATGAACCTAAAATTTTAGAGCACATACTTCTAACTAGTCTTTTAGAAGGATTTATATAGTTACATGATGTGTATCCGTTACATATTCGTTTCTCTCGTTGCATACGTGGTGATCGGATGTTGTTCGTTTCGTTCTTCTCATTCTTGCTATCACTTTTTGTATAAGAGAAGAGGCGATTTAAGGCCTTTTTGTCTTCTGATATTTCGTTTTATTAAGAGGAGTTCGAATATGAGCTCTTGAAAACACAAAAGAAATAAAGGTTTCAATGAACACCGAATCAATATTATGGATGACAACATGTTCGTACTTGATGATATCCCTCAATCAACAAAAATAACGATTCATCCATTATACTTCAGCTCTGTCATCGTTAAGCACATTTTTATACATGAAAACGAACACCTATTAAACGCATTCTTTGCACATTTTAAACGACATGAATCAGCAATAATATTTTTAATAACAGGTGGAAATGATCGAAATTTGTCAATATGCAGTAAAGAACATAAGTATGGACCTTTGCACATAACGAAGAATAGTATCGTATTATGATTTTACTTATATTTAACTTTTGACGATGAACAAATTGGGGTGGGTGGGTGTGGGTGTCCGTATGACTGAAGACAACATAAACATTCCACACTTCGCATCCACCCACACCCACATCCAGTGAGCGACATTCGAATGATTATCGGAAACCGAAGTTGACCACATGCGAAAAAAGAACTCATTCGAAAGCGACCTAAAAAATCACTATTACCAAACGTCCCCAAAAAAGAGTGAATATTTTCATAATCCTTTGTTCTAAAAACCAGCAACCTATTTTTATCGCACTATATAGAAGGACCTTTACTCATTAACCTACCTCCACGATTCCCAAATCATATACAGATAACACAATATTCCACCGCAAACTGCCATTGAACATTTTCTCCCTTACTTCATAACCTTAAATGATATTCTAGACTCTATAAATTGAATAAAACATTAAACGACACGTGTCTATAACAAATCTTGAATTGATTCTTTATTGAATCAAATTAAAGGTATATTTCACCTGATGAGATCTTTAGCTGGATCGAAACGTGTCGTGTTAGCTCCGACATTTATTTAAGAATAACTACGCTATATATATAACTTAGTGAATATATATCATAAACCTTTGACTTTCGTATAGTTCATTTCAATATTAAGGTTTTGTTATGATTCTCTATGTTATATATATGTAGTTTCAATTCTGAACATACTTGATGATGGCTATCTAAACAATAGTTGAAACGTGTCGTATGGTGCTTGAATTTACTCTTACGTAAATCTACATCCACACCCGCGATTTGAAATATGTAAATATGCATGATTTTCTCGTAAATGTGAGTAAAAATATTTGTTTGTGTTTGAAAAGTGAAATTTCAAACGAATTGATTGATACTCTCAACTTTTATTTGACATAACAAAACTGATAACAAAAGCACAAATAAAAACGATCAAAATAGTCAATTTTAACAAGTATTTCACGTTTATTGTTTTATAAATATCTCTTTTGAATTCATTTGATTGAATTAGTACTGTCGTGTCTAGATCATCGTTTACTTCGTCATTTTCATTATCTTGGAATGGCAACATTTCTATGGATTCGTCTGTGTCTATTGTCAACGGTAGAGTTGTAAGCAAACAAGTACTTGTTACTGTTTCTAACGTTTTGTCGAAATGAATACGATCAATTGCTATTTGTGCCATAGCATTCCAATCGAGACGCCAAATAAATACAAATAGGATACCAGCAATGGCACTACTAGCGACAATCATTCCAATCCAGTAGCCATAAATATCCATATGTATAATAAACATAAAGATATACGCCATCGGAAGACCGATTATATATAAACCAACAAATGAAACGATAGCTGCATATTTTTGTTGTCCACTAAAACATCAGAAATGTCTACATAGCTCTATAATAAAACATGGTTGTTTATTTGTCTGGCTCTTCCACAACAAAGATTAAATATTTATCTGATGTCTCATTATCAAAGTGTATATTTCTCGAAACGGCAACCCAGCGGATGAACTAATGGCGTAGCCAAGATTTTTCTTAACGGAGGGATGGGTAGGAAAAGGAATCGAGTTGTTTATGAGCGCGAGGGCATAGCCTCCAGACCCGCTTATGGATATGCTACTGGGATAAATTCTACGCTCTTCGAACAGTATATCTTACGCGAGAACTGTAGCATAGAATATATGGAATCGAGAGTTATAGACAATAGCATCTCATAAGAAACCCATATGACAGGAGCAGGGCATTGTATCTAACACAGAGATATAGAACACATGGCCAGAGTACAACATTTAAAGAGTAGCACTTAAACAAAGAACATCAGTGTAGTGTACACGAATATCGCTAGTGTTTATTACATGGCAACAAAATTAAATTGATTTTGTATATTTCAAACGAGTTTTGGCACTTTTAAATGAGCCTTTTTTTTACAATTTTACTTACACTTACCATGCTTTCAGTATACTATTTTGAATGGTATTCAAACCATCGAATATGTTATAGAGAGAACTAAGCAATAGACCATTCCTGGCAAGTGAGAAAGCTGTTGTTTCGGTACAAAATATAAGTGGTAGCCACCGACAATTTACAAGAACAAAAATCGTATTGATGATCAGCAAGATTCCACCCACTGTAAATGTAACATTTTGAACGTTGACTGCCTTCAATGGTTCGTTTGCACCGAGATATTTTCCAATGAGAATACCGCCGGCGTCACTTACTGATACCATAATTAGGTATACAAATAATGAAATTTGTTGAATAGTTACTTGAGCTGCAAGTGAACGAGAACCGAGTCGAGCCGCAAAGAAAATACTCATTTCAAAGGACCAAACTTCGAGCCTAGAACAGTAACAAAAATCATTTGACAATCTTCAATAAGATTTTCTTTATAAGAAAGAAAAGTATAAAAGGCGATTTGTTCTAATGAATTCTGAATGGAATCTCAATAAACAAACGAAGCGCATTGACCTGACTCTTTCAAATTTTAGTGCACCACTGACTTACATAGCTATCCATACGCCTGGTATAGCCAGTTTAAGATAAACATTCCATTCTTGAAGGCATTTGCGATCAATAGGACACCAAGCTTCGATATAGATTGGCGAATAACGAATATAGATGATTGCAGAGAGTACTATAGAACAATATGCAATAATCATTGACACTGGTGTGCTACAAATGCCCAAATGAAGATGATAGAGACAAATGTAGTGTGATAAGACATTGATTGCATTTCCGATCATGTTGATAATGATGAGTGGTACAGTTCTTCCACTACTTGCAATATACATTCCAAGCAATAGGGAGAGTGCATCAAATGGTAAAACAAAAATATAGATTCGAATAAATCTATTAACTAATGTCAAAACTTCTTGATCTCCCTGAATCCATTTTAAAACATATCCCTAAGAAAATAAAGTCAATAATAAGTATGTACTACTACGTACAGACAAAGGAAAAGAGACTAATGGCGGAAATTCTTTTTACTTTACACTAGAAATTAAATACTTCTAGTAATAATTTAGTCTTACCGCGTTCAGCATCAATATCCAACAAGTGAAACATGCATAACCAGCTATAATTGCACCCCGTTGCAATATGAGGCCCGTTTGTTGTTTGTCTCCACTGAAGTATTGTGGCATAAGAGTCTCTGCAGCAAAATTAAGTCCAACTATAATTGAACTACCTAAGAGATTGTAAACGCTGAAAGCCAATCCACTTGCATTTAGCTCTGCTTGTCCTAAATGACCCATGAAGGCAAGAGAAACGGTAGACAACATCCAAGAGGTACATATATGACTTATAACAAATGCAAGTGTCATTTTCGAGAGTACTAATGCTTCCTGTTGAAAACCAAGTGGATAAAATCGTCGAATAAAAGTAGTACAACTGATCATTTTACGAACAGTTAAACGTAATGGATTTGATGGACAGCAACACACACGGATTAATGAGCCATCTTAAACAAAAATCAACATGCAAAAAATATAAAGCGTACAATCGAAATGTTCGCACTTCAATATCTCTAGCACAAAAATCGGAATGATCTACACCCACACCCACACTCCACACCTCAAATATGATTTGAAATGATTTAGAATATCTAATACAGATTGTTCAGTACGGACTGTGAATTAGAAGAACCAAATGAAAAGTTTAATGATTTTTTTCGTACTAAAATCGAAATACACTGCTAGACAAAAGTATCCCCCTCGGATCTCAGTCCATACAAGAACTAAGTGGCTGAAAATAGGTGTGCAGGTAGCCCATAAAGAATGTAGGTCAGCGGCATCATCTACACCACAGTTGCTCTAGTAAGAATGGAGTTCTAATGGATGTCATTGGTATGCATTATGAATTTGATAGCTGGAGAAAAGTAAGCTATTTTGAGTCGATCAACCCCTCATTTTGTAGCCCTACTTAGTAGCTATTTGTACTAAAAATTTCATTAAAGTTCATCTATCTATTGATGAACTATGATCATTTTAGTGTAAATATTGATATACTGAAAAACTATATCATACCATTGAGAGATTAATAACTTAGTGATAGTTCAATGAATTCATCTGAAATTTTCAGGAGATATTCCCCCATCATTGGGTATTGTGTCGTGAAAGTTTCAGAAGCAAATCTCTTACTAACGAGAAATGGCATTTGAATGGCTTTTGGGTTCTTGTCAAGCCTCTAGACTTCCTATAACTCGAGTAAATGGCCTCATCTTTTGACTACAGAAAGAGCACAGGTTGGGCTCCAATTCGATGCTAAAATATTGATAATTACTTGTGTATTTGCTAAAAAACAATGCATACTTTAATAAGTACTTTTTACCCATTTTCTGTCAGTATCAGTGAACATTGTCGTATGTTCATCTATTATTGGCTAGGTATATTAAAGTGACTTGAAAGTTTTGGAAAGCATCCTCACCGTGTCCGACTGCATTATAGGACGACATTTTCACCTTGAAATTGCTGATAAGTATAATAAAATTAATCATAGAATCATAGATATATTGAAACGTACTATTTTCAAATAGCCAATGGCTTGCACTTATGCTGACAAAAATGGGTAAAAAGTACTTATTAAAGTATGCATTGTTTTTTAACAAATACACAAGTAATTATCGATATTTTAGCATCGAATTGGAGCCCAACCTGTGCTCTTTCTGTAGTCAAAAATGAGGCCATTTGCTCGAGTTATAGGGAGTCTAGAGGCTTGACAAGAACCCAACAGCCATTCAAATGCCATTTCTCGTTAGTAAGAGATTGGCTTCTGAAACTTTCACGACACAATACCCAATGATGGGGGAATATCTCCTGAAAATTTCGGATGAATTCATTGAACCTATCACTAAGTTATTAATTTCTCAATGGTATGATATGATTTTTCCGTATATCAATATTTACACTAAAATGATCATAGTTCATCAATAGATAGATGAACTTTAATGAAATTTTTAGTACAAATAGCTACTAGGTAGGGGTACAAAATAAGGGATTGATCGACTCAAAATAGCTTACTTTTCTCCAGCTATCAAGTTCATAATGCATACCAATGACATCCATTAGAACTCCATTCTTGCTAGAGCAACTGTGGTGTAGATGATGCCGCTGACCTACATTCTTTATGGGCTACCTGCACATCTATTTTCAGCCACTCAGTTCTTGTATGGATTGAGATCCGAGGGGGGGGGATACTTTTGTCAAGTAGTGTAATTTTGCCTAAATTCTTTTTTAACTGGGACATACATGTACAGAGGCGAATAATTAACATTTGATAATATCATAATAGCATCCGAAAGAAAAGGACGTTTTCATTCTTTAACTCTTTTTCTACCTCTATGTATGTGATGAGTTGTTTGTGTTGATGATTCAGTACAACATCGTCGAGCTTGATTTGTACGTTTTAATATTTTTTCTCGAATGACATCTCATTTATTCTTCTCCATTTCTCTCGCTTCGCTGAAAATAAAATGCATATATGACAGAAAAAAGAAACTTAAATAGAAATGTGAAAAAGAATCAATCTCGCATCCTCGTTCGAAGAGGAGAACTGGTGCTTTTTCTTCCGTCCTCCTGTTCGTTGTTATTACAGACAGGAAGAGAAAATTTTCTTTCTGTATTACTTCGTTTTTTTTGGTGAAGCAGAACGAGAGACAGTGTATGTGTGAATATTAAACATTCATCTATTTACTCATCAATTATTTCTGTACAAAGTAGTAAATTAGTAATATGAATTATTCTCACATAGTGATAGGAATTATCGAAAAAAACCGTATTAATTTCACAATTTTAGTTGGTTTCATAAGTCGCATTTACTTATAGAAAAATATTGATATGGGTGATAGTCGATCGAGTTTTATTGACACGTCGAAATCAATGTTTTTTTTTGTAGATTGATTGGCATTATTAATGACGATCATCAAGAAGAGCAGATTGTTGAACGAGCAATTAGCTGTGCAAGCTATTGCTTGTGCTAAAAAGTCGCTCTTGTTTTGTAAGTACAGCTATTTGAAAAAACAATTGCATTTACAAACTTCACTACTCCTTCTAGCAAGATTCAATAGCTAACAAAAAATATTCTGTATTGGTGTATTTTGAAATTTTTTTCGATCATGTTCGGTAGAAAAATCAAGGATATAGATGATACAATAAACGGTTACAAAGAAATTCTATTATTGCACTAAGACGATGTAATGGACTTTTATTAGCTAGTGTAAAAATTCGATATTAATTCAATGAAGAATATACAAAATCGTCAAGTAAAAATTTGTAAAAAAAGAACGAAGTTCGGTAGCAAACTGATTATTCTTTAATTTCATCAAGAAATCTCGAATAATGGTTTAAATTAATTATCATATTGGACACAACCGGTTTTTGAAGTGATTTTTAACAGTTCTTGCTGAGAAATAATAGAAAAAAGATGATTTAGAACCCTGAAAAACTATATTGATTTTTTGCAACTTTCAATGTTGGCACTTATATTTTTCATTTTCTATCGAACATGGTTGAAAAAGATTTCAATATACACCAATACAGAATATTTTTTGTGAGCTATCGAACCTTGCTAGAACCAGTAGAAATGAATGAAAACTGTGGGAGCAATAGTGAAGTTTCTAAATGAAAACTCTTTTTGCAAACAGTTATATTTTTTCAAGTCTTATGTTCCTTTTTTAAAAATTAACTTATACTTGAACAGGAATGAACAATTGTTATCATATGCTGAATTGTCTGTGTTTTCGCAACAAGTGGTGCTATGCATTCGGAAAACGGTGGGTATGGATAAGAAAGAAAATATTATTTTTCAATGTGTAGAACGGTCGATTGAAATGTCCATCGGTATTTGCGGTATACTTATGGCAGATGGTGCCTATTGTATACTCAATCCAGACGAGTATCGAGGTCGTCTCGAGATGCTAATTGTTCAAATTTCTGGGCGTGTAGTACTTGCACAGGCATCTACTAGAGGTAAGGTCATTTCATCAACAATCCCTATTGTAGATCTGAGCAAAATTATTCTTGACACATCCGATATTGATTTCGATCGTTTGAATCAAATTCTTCATCCATCATTATCGGATCATCTGGTTCTGCCGGTATACTCAAAATAATCGTTCATACCCATTCGAATTTCGATTCCCTTGGATATTTACTCCCGAATATTGGTTTACTCAATAAACATGATATTGTATTACAAGCAGCCTGTTGTTCGTGGATAATTCATGTATATAAAACTAGCGGAGGTATCCGATGTATGGAGATGATACGATAGCATATATCTCACGGATGATAATACGATGTTGCCACAGTCCTCAACAGCTATTCATCTGCAATATCATAAGCTACACTCGAATCTTTTCTTTTTTAATTTTAATATTTAACATATTAAAGCCGTTATAGACTTTTTTTTCTTTTTTATATTTTTATTGATGAACTTCTTCCAAGCAAAAAAACAGCAAAATAGAATTTTTCATTGTAAAGCTGTTTTGTACACGATGTTCTTCGTTTTTCCATCTGGAGCAAAAACATACAAATTCTTTCCAGTTCCTACTCTCGAGCATGCCACATAAAGTTGACCGTGAGAAAAGCAAGGAGTTTCTAAATTGACACCAGCAACTTTAAGTGATTGCCCTTGGGCCTTATTAATAGACATTGCGAAGGCAAGCCGTACTGGAAACTGAAGTCGTGTAAATTCAAATGACATATCAGAAGGGAGCAAAGGTATTTTTGGTATGAATACATCTTCACCTTTTGCACAACCTGTCATGATCGTTGCTTCGATTACATGAGGCATTAGAGTTTTGACACATAGCCTTGTACGATTACATAATCTTGGTGCATCCAGATTTCTTAGGAGCATAATAGATGATCCAATTTTCAGACGCAAGTTATGTGGTGGCATTCCAGAAGGTTCGAGTGAATTGAGAAACTCAGTTGGATATTGAACTGCCATGTCGATATCTTTAACTGTATCAATTGATTTGTAAGATATAGCTTCACCAGGAAACTGTTGCTGAATTTGTAGATTGATGGCATTTACGTTGACGTTTTTCGGAGCCAGAATAGCACGTTTACATAACCATTTGTGGTCCTTGTAGTGAGTTTGAATGTTTGGAAACACTTTACTCTTGAGTTCTTCGACTGATTCAACGATATTACAAAAGTTGTCTGAAATATTAATAAGTCAACTGACTGGGTCAGCAGGTCT